ATATATATAAAATAGATGTAAAAAGAAAAGGAGGTTTCCAGACAACGCGAAAACTATCACGAACAGAATTTTTCCTACCTCTAAGAAACTCGTAACCGTTAAAAATACAACACGGAGGATGCTTTTTCAATCATCGGCATAAAACACATCTACTTACACTAACACTCCTTTACATTTAGCCTCTTAATTCAGTTCGACGTTATTTTATCCCTTGTATATACCTTCTACCTAAACTTTGTCTCTTTTCCCCCCTTTCCGTATATACACAAAGTTACACAATATTGTCCCCTAAGCATAACAAGCTTCAAGAGAAGACTTTGCTCGTGTGCGAAGCTCGGTGTGAGACACTCTAGCCAAATCCGTGATACATCACCGAGGTATTATAAGCGTTTTATAAATGCGTCGTATGTCGCGCGCCGTCAAGAAACAAAGCGGTGGGAAGAGAAGGCGAGAAGGAATCGTACAGTACCTTACTTTACGTGAACCGGTACTAAAAAGAAAATAAAGGAAGGATTTCTTGCGGTCACCTATACTTTGGTAAGCCGATCCACGCGGCGCGGTAACTCAAAGCTTGTCGCTTTTAATTATACCAATTGTGTAACTGAGCGTCTCTGTTGTGTGTTTTCTTGTTTTTTTTAAAGAGACTCCGTGCTTTCGATCGAAAAGAAAAGACAAAAGGGGAAATGGAAAGAAACACATCTCGCGATATTTTTTTTTTTGTTTTTTGTACACGGCACACGTATTTTTTCTTTTTTTTTTCTTCGTTACAATTAGAGGAGGTCGTCCCCTTTTTACGCTATCGGTGGATCGTCATCGTCGTCGTCGTCGTCGTCTCTCGTGACTAGGACATTACCATAATGATTTTGACGAAGAGGTCCGAATCTTTGCAGCAACCTGTATCGTCTCGCGCCGAAATACAGCAGTACACCGATTACTACGAGGAAGGTCGGTATTAACAAACCAGCGGCTACAGAACTACCTAAACAACATTGGAAAAAAAAAAGAACATTTGATTTGAGCGGCGTTAGCATGCAAATGATGATTGAACATAGGCTTGGCTTACGTAAACGTTCCTCTTTTCGCGATAATCCCTATCGGCCGTATGAATAATGAAAGCTAATGCTACCGTATTTATCGGCGGTCACAGGCTTACGGAAATTTACAAACGATAATCTGTGCATCTCGTACCTTCCAACTTTTTCGTTCTCTCCCAAGTAGCAATATGCAATATATCTACCTCCTGAGTTGACTTCCACGTCTGCTTCAACATTCGACATACTAGCAACGGTGCTAGTCGCAAGCTGAACGCAGTGGCCTTCTTTCAGCGTGTAGCCAATCTTGCACGTGCAATACGCGTCCTGGAACTTCGTCCTTTGAAGGCATCTTTCGTTCTCGCCGCACTGCTCTCCCATCTTGTGCATGTCGCACAGTTTAACCTCGTTCGTAACATTTCCCGCTGAAAAATCTCCCACCTTTCAATCTCGCAATCCTGATCGCTCCTCCGCTTGGCAGTAAATTATTCCCCGCGTTTCTGCCAATTCGAAGCAGGGGACACGAAAAGCTTCGTTCAATCGACGTAACAAACGCGACGGAAAAGCTTTCCCTCTTTCTCCTTAACCTTGACAATGAAAACTGTTCGGTAGCTTCCATCGAAATTAAACGTCTCTCTCGAACGTTCGCGACGTACGTCCCCTTTTTTTATCTCTCCTTATCGGAGGTGAGCAAATATGTTTCGTTTTTTCCACTTTCGCTCGTTTCGAACAAAAGACACGTCGTCGAGGGCGAGCAGCATATCTTTGCGTCTCTATCGACACCGCGTGAGTCGAGATTGGCTGAATCAGTTAATTGAGACGAATTCGTTTTATCAGCTAGAATACAAGGGGTTAACTATAGGGGAGTCAAGCAAATTAAGCAACTTTCTTTTTCGTTTAAATCCACGGTATTGCATTAATTCGATAATCGAGATGTACTCGATCGAATATGTGTTTGCCAAAGGAGATTACCAACATCTGCATCGATGCGTGCCGATGAACTTTACCGCGATAACGTCACAGAATTCATAGCTCAATGGAACAATGAGACCTTTCATTTCCGAACTCTATGAATATATAACGCGCGCGGTTTCTATCGGTTTCTCTTCGCTTTGTGCTTGGCTAATGAGAACGAGATCGAAAGAAATGACATAACTATATCGCGCAAAGTGGAACATTCTGTAACTACGAGAACACGAGGGAGAGATGTCCGACGAACTCGAGGAGTATCTTCCGTATAATAAATTGCATCGTTGGACGGCGCAACACGATGATTAACGGAATATAGTCGCGGGGAATTTTTCAACCGCGAACTTAATTACTACCGCTAAGTAACACGTTTGCACGTCAACTAAGCGTTAATTATTCCACGAACGAAGTAAAGTGCAAAAAGTTGCGCGCACGCTCTCTCTCTCTCTCTCTGAAAACAACGGACTTGTATTTTCTCTTCTTTTTTTTTTTTTTGCCTCGTTCGAGCGCGTGTCTCAATTTTATTATCGTGCATCGTTGTCGGTTGATTGCGAAGAATGAAAACAGGCGGTACTCGATAACATTCTAAACATTACGCATGGACTTTGTTATCGGGTTGACTCAACTTGTTCGTTGTACCAGGCGAAATATACCGACCGTCCTTGCCGCATAGACGAGGCGAAAGAGCTAAACATAACGAGCATCGCTCCAAGGGATCACCTCGGCACACGCTTTCTTACGTTAAGCAATAGGGGAAAATATTCCACGCGACGGTAATATCTCCTCTTTAAAACGATTTCGTCGTGTTCCACTTGTTACGAAAACTTGCGAAATACATTTACACTACGATAAGTGTGTAGCCTACGACCGTAAATATTACGATGTCTCCGTGAGCAGGTAATTTTTCGGTTCGCGGAAAAAAAAAGGGGGGGGGGAAAAAACGACGAAAACAGCGTTGTAAGGATGAGCAGAAAAAGAGTGGTGACGAAAAGCAATTACGACCGACCGGGAAACACCGTGTTGCCAATTATACCTCTACGAGGAATAAGGAAATACGCTCTTCTGAATCAATTGCCGAGTAACCAAATCAAACTGATCACGCGGTAACGAGCGTCTGGTACGTGACAGATTAATCATTTATACTTCATCGGGACAGTATGTACACGCCGGGTAATTGATACATGAAAAATTGAGCACCGTGTGTACTGGCGATATCGAGATAGAGAGAGATAAAAGAGGTATCGTCCAGCGAAACGTAACGACGTAGTACACCGAAAAATACAACACCCGAGGGGACTCAATTTCTGGACCAAACGAGCACGAGGAGAAGAGAGACGCAGCTTGGAACGAGACGAGACAGAGAGGGAAAGGGGAGCAAAAGAGACGGTGGCAGAGAGGAGGGGGAGGACGAAGAAGGGGGAGGAGGAGGGAGAAAAAGCGGAAGAAGACTATTGTGGCCTTACAGGGGTGACCCCAATGGTTCGGTTGAACGAACCAATTTCGGCCTCGCTCGGTACACAGACACTTAATTTACTGCCAAACCAACTGTGTTAAACTGTTTTAAAGGAAATGCACGAAAGGTTACCTGCGTGACTGAATGGCGCTAGAAAAAGTAGTGCCACAATGAGATAGCAGAATACGTCGACTCGAACGTTTCGCATTTTCCTTTCTTCCTTCCTTTTCCCTCGTGCCGTCACACCACACGCACACACGATCACTCTCTCTCTCTCTCTCTCTATCTCTCTCTCTCTCTTTCTTCTGTGTGTCGTTGGTTCACATTCACGATCACATAATAAAGTACGCGGTTATTCAAAGGACACTTACGATCGATTCAGTTTACGCCGCTACGAAAAACGTAATGTTGAACGCACAAACGCACACGCACGACTAACATGAAATTATTGGCTAGCGATGACCTCGAACCGTGCCGGGAAACGATCAACAGAGACGCGCGAGCCGGCACATCGCCGATCGGCCGGCCGTCACCAGTTTTGACAGATAAATGCTAGGCCGCGCCGCGGAACGCGTTCAATCATCTGTTATTAAACGACCATTTGCAATTATCGAATTCAATTGGCATCGAGAATCGCAGCAACATTTCGATTTCGAGATATACGTCGAGAGTAGGGAGACGCCGCGATGCGCATGCGCCACACACTGGCGCGACAATCAAAATTCAATTTCAACCATATGCTACTTACGTGTGTCCTCTTTAAACTGCTTGCCCGTTAATAACGAGAAAGAAAAACAGAATTTCATCGTTACTTACTACCGATTGCAATCTGTGCTTTTATTTCGACTGAAATTGATTTCTTAACTGAAAAGGAACGTCGAAAGATTAAGCAGCAAAAAGGGACGATCGATCGAGAAGGGGAATGACACGTTTTCTGAAAACGTTTCAACGTCCATCTAAATTTATGACCGATAACTGTATTTTTAGATCAAGTATCCGAGGGAATAGTGTATTCCTCATCTCCTAGATAACTCTGGCAGCTTACTCGCGAAAATCGATTGCAATACAGGTTATTTTTAAAAACTAGAATCACAGTACGAAAAAAGAAATACCAAATACGTATTAGGTTTCTAAACGTACCAACTCTACGTAAAATACGTCTTACGGATACTGCCGCATCGATCGTACAATTCGATATCGCGTTTTTTCCAATTTATCATTCAAAGCTTCAAAAATACCTTTACTATTGGAATGCATAGGCGCCCGAAACGTAGTTGCGATGACAGCGGCACGTGTCATGGCGAGTGTGTTGGTATAAACGAAAGTCGCGTACTGTGAACTATTCGTAAAATCAAAAGCTATCAATTACAATATTCGAAATGAGAGAAGAAACGGTGTTGAGTTTAAAGTGGCATAGCTTCCCGTCGCATTTAGCAGTTTCCCTCGATACGTGTTACGAGAAGCAACAGTTTGTAGATCTTTCTTTAGTATGTAAAGATGGAACGATTTTAAAATGTCACAAAATGGTATTGGCCAACTCGAGCTCGTTCTTCCGTCGATTGCTCGTTGCCAATGACCATCCTCACCCTATGATTATTCTTCACGATATCGAGGCGGACGACCTAAAGACTATCGTCAATTTCATGTACTGCGGTGAGATACAAGTGATTCAAAGTGAGGTTAGAAGGTTGTTAAAATTGGCCGAAATTTTGGAAGTGACCGGATTGAGGCATATACAGACTTCTGTTTTGGTAGGAGAATCGAACAACACGTCTCACGATGCATCGAAAAAATCGACCACCGTGTCTCGCTTAAAAATCGAAGAAACAAAAAACTTACCTACCAAAACTGTACCTGAACATGATCCTACTAGTAGATCACAAAATAAAACAACCAGTCAAACGCCCAGATTTACTCCATCTTTTTATCCTCACAAAACTGCAAATAAAGTTCCACCAGAAGCTAGTAAGAAAAATGAGGAGGGTAATGTTAATTTATTAAGTCAACGGTTGGATACAGGGAGATCAGGAATCAGTATTGTAGATATTAATGATATGCCAAGCACCAGTAGAGGAATTTCCAATCCACAAATACAGAAAAGAAAAGAACCTTCTGAGCCTATTATCAGTTGGCCTCGTGTGTTATCTGCTATATCCAAGGATAACTCCTTGCCTTTGAAAAAATTATGTATTATGGATGAAGTGGAAATTACAGCTGGAAAGCCACCTATGGCTAATCAGGAATCCCAGAGAGATGAACCCCTAGACAGGAGGAAACAGAGGACTAATTCAGAAGACAATGAATCTATGAACTGTGCAGTTTATATAAAAGACGAAGTGGACATATTTGAAATGGAAGAAGATGCAGATATGGATCCTCTGGAAGTTGAAGAGATTGAAAATGAAAGTTCGGAGATTCTTGCAGGATCTTCCCAAATGTTTTCTGTTACAAATGTGGATCAAACGTATTACAACGCAGGAACACTTTCGGAATTTCCTTCCAGAAAGGGATCTAATGGTTAAAGGATAGAATAACATGTTTTAAATTAAAATCGTTACTATATGTTGCTTTCGATATAACACTTAGACTGAATAAAACCTTTTGTGATTATAAATTTTTCTTTAACTAAAAATACTTTGCAGAAATTTCAACGTATGCAAATTAACCATAGCTCATCACCTTACTTGTTACTTTCTTACATGATGTTGTTCATTTTGTAATAAACTAATTAAAACCAACATTTTCATAATTATTCAATACCTAGCCCACTCACAGATGTATCTATGTACTACTAGTACTTCTTTTCCACTCAATTTATAACACTGTATTGAACGTTTCTATGGAAACCTTTGGTAGTTAGTCACATATATGTGTAGTTTGATCAAACTCTTCCAATTATTTGCGCTAAAAAGTATCAGAAATATGAATACAACGTTAGAAAGTGATAAATTAGGCGAAAAAATAACAGAAGCCGAACAAATGATGGACAATTTAACAGTTGATAAAAAAGTAACAGAGGAAGAATTTCAAAACTTTATGCAACGCGTTACTCAAGTCGGTAAGCAGTATCTCAGATATTTCAGTTATCCACACAATCTTTAACACGTTATAACCTTTTAAGAAAAAATTGTTAAGAAATTGGCATCCTCCAATCCCAAGGAGCAAAAGATCGGAGAAATATTAGCGGACGAAATGTTAGAAAACCGGTCTGAAAGGAACATCTCCGAAAATGTTGAATTAAAAGTAAAAACTAATCGCACAATGATCAACACGCGTTCCACTACCGAAACTTCTACTCCCGAACAAATGTCCCAAGGTATCGACTGAATGTTTTGGTTTTTTTTTTGCATTCCGACGCCAACTAAAGGTTTGTTTATACAGAGGCGTTTATGAGAAGCGTAGAAAAAGATGCGAAAGAAAGAGCAGAGGATCGAAAAGTTAGAAACGAACGAGCAGAAATGTTGAAAGCAATTGGTAACGGGGCTTTCAAAGAGGGAAATTACGAAAAAGCTGTAACCTATTTTAGTAAAGCGCTCGAGCAACGAAAAGATTCGACCGTGTTATGGAACAACAGGGCTTTGTCGTATATTCAGCTTGGATTATTCGAAAAAGCCTTAGCCGATTGCGAGTGGGCATTAAAAGTAAACAACGCGAATTTGAAAGCTCTCTTAAATAGTGCTAAATGTTACAAACAACTTGGAGATGAAATCAAATACAAAGAATATATTGAATTAGCAAAAGAAAGGAATCCACACTTCAACAAATTTATTAATGGTATACTTGGTTTTTTTACATTGGAAACATTTCTATTATAATTAAATTTTCCTGAATGTTTCCTTTACAGAATTTGAAGAAAGTATGGACATGCGCGTTAATTTCCAAGCCTGATCTAGTTACAGCATTCATCGACAGTGAACAATAGAAATATCTCTCATGTAGCATGTACATATATTTCTTTTGCAATAATCTAAAATGCATTTAACTGGTATCAAGATGGACTTATTTTCGTCGCATAACCCTCTTTAATCTCCGAAAGAGATCTAGGTTCATGCAAAAAGACTGTACATTCAATACCCTGAAAAAAGTTATTATTGGAATTGTTTGAAACTATTATATTTTATAATAGAAATACTTATACCTGCATGCGTGCTGCTCTAACAAATCCCTCATTTGCAGATACAGTAATGCTTTTCATATTTTCCCCCGTTGCAAAAACCAGCCTAGATCTATCTTTAATTTTGCCACCCAAACTTAGCTTTTCCATAATTCTGCCTGTAGGTATATCATCGACAATCTGAACTTTGTTCAACAATTCTTTTGCCCTGAGAATCTCCTTGGGTCCACCGATAACATCTACGATGTTCATAAAATTATCATAAGCAGTTTGAGAGACAATTAGTTCTTTGCCTCTGAAGAAGTTTTCTAGAACTGGTTTCACCGGATGTTTTCTCTCCATCTCTGCTTGTTGCGTGAGCAATGGTTCCCGATATACGAAATAATCATACCCATTGGTCATGTTTGTCACATATGCCAACAGAGTTGACACATCCAAGTTAAGAAGTTTTATCTCTGTTTTCAGGGAAGAGGTATTTAAAATATCTAGATCTGAATTTACACCTTCCTCATATTCTTCCAAAGGTTCCTCCGTAGATTCTAACGAATACATCCATGTAGAACATTTGTCCTCGCTATCTACCTCCAGAACAATAGACATGAAACGAATATCATCCTTTAGTTAATGGTATTATACATATTTGTGCATTTACCATATTAGAAAAAATTGATACCATGTATATCTACGTTCTTTGTATCCTCACATCGCATCTTATCTCCCTCAACAATGACTCCCATGCGTTCTAAACGTGTAGCTAATGGTATTTCAATGCCATAAGCAAAATGGAATACAACATCGGGTGGCCTATACAAATGTGGATAACACTTTGCACATTGCAAATAACTGCTAGCCTGATCAAGCACAGATTTTTGCCCATATTCTCCATCACCCATTGAAATCAACGTAAGAGCTCTAGCATTTCTAGCAATAACTTTTACCCAAGATGCACCCCCGTTGCATACTATATCTACTTCTAAGCGTGACTTCTGGTATTTGAACGGTTTCATAACATTGGTAGGCTCATTGGTACAAAACAATCGTGCTACAATTGCATTCAAATGAATCAAATTTGTGCTCTGCAGATGTTCTTTCTTTACATTCCCTGTAGATTGTACCTTTATGAGAATAGCGTACAGTTACAATTCTGATATCCTTTTAATTCAAGAGTATACGATATTCTAAAGACTTACGTACAACATAAAAAGAAAAATGTTAAAAGTTGAAACGAAACTGTCGACAACTTGCACACTTAGAAATACGTGTAACCTCTACTTAACACTCCGGTAAAAATGCGAGTATATAATATTCGTAGTTTGGAGAGTAATCTCGAGAGAACGTACCTTTTCTAAAAATCTAATTTCTTGTTGAATCTTTCGCATAAGTTTCTCAATCCCGTCAATCTTTCCCATGAGTTTCAGTCGATCTATCGTGGCTTTGCCACTGTCTATTTTTTCCTCGAGACATCTCAGAAGCTCAGCCTTTTCCTCCATTCTTCTCGGTTAAACAACTTTCGAGACGTTGGCCATGAAAATTCGTATTTTCTGTAGCAATTCTAATAATTTCGGATAGTCCACGATCGACGAACGTAGTGTCAGCAGCCATCTTGCATCACAGTTCAATATCGCGTAATGTCGTCGGGTCGCTTGTCAAACTCGCCTATTAACCTCACAAACTTTTGTATTTCAACGAATAATTGACAGTCAAACATAATACATGAATCGTAACGATACCACGTTCCAGCGAATCGTGCGTAGTGTAAAAGGACAGAGGGAAAACTTATTCGCGGGTGTAAAGCGATCGAAAACAAGCCTCCTTATCACGCCGTAATTATCGCACGCTGACAAGTTTTTTCTGACAACAATAGAGAATATCGCGGTATTTAAGTTAAAAAATGTCCAACGCGAAGATCATCGAAAATCCAGAAATACCGGGTGAGTTCCCCTTCCTAGGAAACAGTTTTCTTCGTTGATTCACGTTGTTAGAGACATATGCCCTAGTGAATCTAGTGTATCGAAAGTATATGCAAACTCGTAAATCTCCGAGTACATCGATCCTCGAAAATCTACGATATTCCTCACGTTTCTACCCATATACTTTTCCATCGCGAAGAAATACTTTTCGAAACGATACTACGTCTCTACATTTCGATACAAAAATACGCTGCGTAGTTGTAACGGGTTCCATTAAAAATAACCGGATGCGACTTGCGATATGTCCGTATCGGTCAATTATCAAAACAATTACTCGAAGAATACACCTATCACGTGCCACGTTAAACACGTGAAACGAAAGGACAAGTTAGCAATCGGACATCTCTCTCCTTACTGTCAAATTTCATTGAATACTTGGCCGTCGAAATCAGCTGTCGGCTTAACATATAAAATAACAGGCACGTACAAACGCAACGAGCGAACGTGCGGCACACTCCTATTTCATCGGAGCGTATCGAAATTCACGAATGGAACGAAAATTCGTCGACTCGTCGTTGTAAAGTAATTTAAGATACGCGCGTAAATAGATCACTGTTACTATTATTAATCGTTCGCGTACCTGCGATGCGTAAGATCGACACTTGGTAAGGTTACCACTTGAGCGTAGCACGATACACGATTGCCGATACATCGGAGATACTAATTTTTTCCGTCTAACACGTTATCTCGATGGCGCAATGTTGATCGCGGGCGCTAAAGCAGCTTGTTCGGTCCTGAGGTGTAGAGTGCAAGACAGCGTGCATTCGATAAGCGAAATGCGCTGTCTGGCGACCACCCGGAAAAATGTATCCTCGCATGTTACAAATAAAAACTCACCGATATTACATATCCGCGGTCTTGTTCGAAATTAAGAGGAATTAGTCTCGAGCATTACCCACGATTAAATCCGATCTCCGAGCAAATTACAACCGATACGAATCTCCTCTCTTTCGCCATATTACATTCGTACTTAATCACTTTGTATTCTCTGATACTTAATCCGCGCCTCGAACGCGCTTAAATCCTCCACGGTTTTTATTAGCGCCATAAATCTAACGTGTAACTTGGCCCATTCATATTTTATGCACCGCCTCCAGAAATTCCTTCCTTCTTTTTTCTCCAATTAGAAAACATTCTTTATTACGAGTTGCTCTCTCCCTCTCTCTCTCTCTCTCTCTCTCTAAGCGTCACTTGGTATAATACAGGATTGGAATGTTTCCTGCCACCACCCCCGCCGCCACCGCCTCCTGTTACAACGTCGAAGAGCAACAACAACTGCGTGGCTGTAGCGACGGAACAACAGCAACTCCTCGTAACAACAGAGGCGACAACGACCGGCTTATCGAGCAACGAAACCGCGGCAAATCTGACAACAGTTCAAGCACCGACTACATCGTTTCCAAACGTTCCCGTGCCAACACCATACATCATACATCCTACGATGCAACCACAAACACCTGGACAACCGGCTACACCGTGGTGGGTACCGACAGACGCGGACACGTCCGATCTTTACGCAAGATGGTACGACACGACCTACAAGGCGGCAGCTGCGACTGTAGCGTCGCAGACGATACAAGTATCGAGCAACGCGAAGAACAAGTATTACAAACGCAAGAACGAGTTCATCGATCCCGCGCAAGATGCAGGTAATTAGGGAAGGTTTTGAGGATGGTTTTGCGACACGTGAGAAACAGCTGGAATTATATCTATATACGTATTCGATTAAAAAAAGAAAAAAAAAAAGAAAAAAAAGACGGCTTTAACATAATGAGCTGCGCGCAACAAATGATCATTGAGAAATGAGAAAAACGCCAGGTTTCCTTGCGGCAGTTTAGCTAATTAAAGATTGATTTATGTTTCTATTTCGTAGAGAAAGTCGCGAGCGCCCAGAGGGAATTGTCGGCACTAATGAAACCGCTGAAATGCGATCTGTGCAATGCAGTTGTAAGGCTCGATTACTTTTATCTCGATAAAAAATACACGCAAGACCCTGTTGCATATCGTGTCGTATTTATCTATACAATAGAACGGCATGGATCTTTATCACCGTGATGATTAAAATTGAACCGTTTCAGATGAACTCGACGTTACAAGCGAAACTGCATTACGACGGGAAACCGCATCAGAAGAAGGTGTCGATGTTTCTCAATCAAAGTGTAAAGAAACAGAAGACGGAGGACGGGCAAGTTAGTAGTACGACCAACGACTGGCAGAATTATTGCGATGTAAGCAGCGGCAATTCTTCGTTAACCTGTTAACTGGGGAAAGAGGAGTTTTAAATTCTCACCGTACAATTTTCAAATACGACAGATATCGACAAATATCAAAAAAATTACAGAGAAATTGAGAGGTGAACTCGGTTAACAGGTTAAAAAAAAAAAGCG